GGTAACTGCATTAAATGAGGAGCAAAATCTAACATGAGATGAGCTTGGGTAGGTTTAGTGGTTTAGTACTTTAGTTTCCCAAGAAAATGAGTACCGGCTTCCGCCACCTAACACAAGCAGGTCAAATATCTGTAGAAGTGAACACTAGCAGGTAAAATGTAAAATGTTCATATTTCTGGGACACTTAGGTTTCCCTTTTAATTTTTTTATGTGGTCCCAAATTCCAAGACGGTGGAAGGTGTGCCAGATTAGTACTTGACAAAATTCATGTACCACTGGTAGCAGTTTCTACCACTTGCCAAACTAAGCCCCCATAAAAAATAAATAAATAAATAAAATCCAGATTTCTATCCATATAGTGCTATAAAAAGCAAATTTGAAAAGAACAAGACAAGAAACAGAATATTTACTTGTTTCCAAGAAGATTATGAAGCTTAATGATTATCTCATCTTCTTCTTCAGTGAAGTTTCCTCTCTTGAGATCAGGCCTAAGATAATTTATCCATCTTAGCCTACAACTCTTGCCACATCTAAGCAACCCTGAAAAAATGAACCAAACAACAATTAATATAAATTAAACACCCTTTGCGGAGTTACAAACAAAAACCCAACAAATTTTTTTTTTTTTTTTTTTAAAAGAAGAAAGATAAAAAAAAAGGGAAATTCTGTGGAGCTGTACCTGCAGCTTTAGGGAGGGATCTCCAGCAGCCTTCACCATGAACACGAATATAGTTGATGAGACGCTGGTCTTCCTCTTTAGTCCATGCTCCTTTGTTGGTGTGAGCTTTCTCACAGCAAGGTGAACGTCCCATGAATGAATGATGGAATATTAACCTCTCTCTCTCTCTTTCTTTCTTTCTTTCTTGCTTTCCTAGAAGAAAAAGAAGAAGAAGAAGAAGAAGAAAGGCAGCGCTCAAAACATCAAAGAGAAAAAATGGATAAGTGCTAGTAAGCAGTAGCCCTTGTCTTTTCTCTCTATAATTGATGGAGATAACTACTCTGAAAACTCTCTAAGTCAAAAAGGAGAGGGAGAGAACTGTGGGGAAGCGGTGGGGGTACCCAACAAGTGGTAGTAACAAGTTTGATTGAGAGACGTTGGAAAAGAAGATGGATATGTATATATATGATAAAAGGCCCCAGGGAAGAAGCAAAAAAGAAAGGAAGAAAAGGATGGTATGAAGCCTATTGATGATGGAAGAAAAAGATAAGACAATTAATTAGCTTAAGGATTAGTTCAGCCAATACATTTGGTTGGTTTTCTTTTTTTTTTTTTTTTTGGTTAAAATTTTGGTTAATTTGTGATGAGATGATAATAGATTAAATAAAACTGCAAGAAAGAGCGGGGGAGATGGTAGGATATTTGACCAAGTTGGTGACAAAGACGAGTTGTTAGGAGATGGGGTTGGATTTGGTAGGTAGGTTTACTTTTTCGGTGAGTTGGCCTTGGTGCTGTGGGCTCTACTTTTTCTAGCTCTTTCTTTCTCTTTCTCTGTGCATTCATAAATAAAGCTCCGGACAGTTGCTTGTTTCTTCAATACTTCAACATCCCCACTTCAAAAATATTTTAAAACCACAAAAATCCCGCAACTGCCCACCAAAAGAAAAAAAGAAAAAGAAAAAGAAAAAGTGATGATCATAAGATATGAAAGTAGTGTTATATGATGCCACATGAGCTTAATGTGGGCTTGGAATGTATCCATCTGCCCATGTTTCGTTTGCATATGCATGCACATTGCTGCTGCTTTCTTCGCCTCATCTGATATTGATCCAAAACGCAATAAGATATTTATATTTTCTCTCTGATCATCACTCTTATCAGGACTCTTCAGCCATTCTTGAAAAGTTTGGATGAATGATTGAAGCGGATAGATATAGGTTCTTATCTGATTTGTAACGATTTCAGGTCACAATTGTTTGTAGTAGGATAGACTCTTCAGCATCGTTTTCTAATGTTATATCCTCTTTGGAGTTTGCTACGGATACGAGACATTCTTCCAAAAAATGATTGAGTTTTGCAGGGAATGAATTCTATTTTCTGTTTCTACAGTTCAAGCAATATATATGATGATGCGGCTGCCAAACTGTCCAAGAATAGTTGTTCGAGTCTATTCCTATATGTACCGAATTGTCTTGCATTGAATGCAAGCAGTACTTGGATTACTTAGCATATGATTAAGATGTAGAACAGTTAGGATTCAAAAAATTGAGAATTCACCCTTGAGAGACAGCTTCTCTACGCTGGACACTAATATATTTTTAACGTCTAATTAGATCTGAAAATTATTTCAAATTGAAAATGGAAGCTCGTTACTTTAACTCTTCCTATAATTAATTGAACCGGCGAGAGGTCCTATCCATTTATTCATTCAACCTAATTTTATTTGAGAAATTGACTAGGTTGGTTTGATAAGGGATTGTTTGAGAAATTTACTTCGGAAGATTGTCTAAACACATTCTATCACCATTTTCTTTTTATTTTCTCATCACCTTTTAATTTTATATACATCATGTCACAAAAAATAATACAATATATAAAAATCTTTATTTTTCCAAAAAATCTTTAATCCAAATGGGCTGACTCATGTTTAATACAAATATATACAATTAATTATCTTGTTCGCTTAGTGCCTACTAGACGATTACAAGCATACTTTAAATTTATTATTTCTTTCTTTTTCTATTTTCATTCTTCTCCTTCTTCTTATTCTTCTTCTTCTTCTTTTTTTTTTTTTTTAACATTATGGCTGAATATAGATGAGGCAAATGACATAGTTCTCATGGAAATATTTTAACCGATTTTCTCTCATTGGCATAGTTTCATTGGAAAGTCTTTCAAGGGTCTAATTTAATAACAGTTATAGAGCTGTTTAGGACAAGGAAAAAAAGTAAAAAAAAAAAAAAAATGGGAAAGACGGTTTCTAAGCAACAAAAAATAGGCAAAAGGATGAACAAAAAACAACTTTACTATGATTTTTTCCCCTTTCATTTAAGCACTTGAAAATGGAACCCTCTGTAACTTTGTAGACAAATATGTCCCCAACATTTTAATTTTTCTTTTGAGTAAATTTATATACTAACAATGTATGCACATCACTATTAGATTCATGACATGTGTAAAAGTTAAATTTCAAATTCAAAATTTGAAAGATTAATCCTTTTCGTTTCCCTAAAAAAATTCAAACTTTTTACTCAAAAAGTAACATGTTTTTTAAGAACTTAACAAAAGTTTTCAGAAGCAAGATAAATGTCCTCTAGTTTATTTAGAAAATACAAATAGCAATTCAAAATTTGAAATATTTCTTAATAGTGCATCTTTTAAGTTCGGTGGAAAGATCCTCGCTTTTGCCAATTCAAAAGGGAAAGTAAAAACTAGGGATGAAAACGGGGCGGTTTTGAACTTCCCCTCTTTCCCCGCCTCAATATACAAAAGTTCCCCTGTTCCCGCCTCGTCCACCGCTCTCCCAACCCACGCCCTACTACCACCATGGGTGCACTCATCATGCTTCACAATCATTATTATTATTTTTATTTGATTTAACTTTTTCAATTTATATAGATCTAATAACAATTTTATTAATCATTCTTTTGAAGTTTTAATAAAAAAATTACATCGTTTTATCCTAACAATATACCATGTTACCTATTTCATACAATATATTTATATAATAATAATAACATAGCATTTATTTCATATTAGACATATAAAAAAAACACACACACACACACACTATATCAAAATATAGGCAGGGGTAGGGTAAGGGAGCACAATTATAGTGTGGAGGGAAAAAAAATTCCCTCCGCCTCATTACTCACCTTGTGGGTAGGCACCCCCATTGTCATCCTTAGCGAAAACATCAAAAAGTTATACAAAACAAGTTTAAAAAAATTAAACAATAATATTTAGAGTCGCAAACCTGCGAATATCTAGTATAATTAGTTCTAATAATTATAGTCAACACTTGTAGGAGGTGTAAACAAAATTGTTATCCACTTTCAAAAACTAGTTCTACTAATTATAGTTAACACTTGTACGAGGTTTATAAAATTGTTATCCACTTTCGAAAACTAATATTTTTTTTTTTTTTGTCTGCAATGACAACTATCTAATTTACTCCTACTTCTACTCTATGGGAGGACTTGTATGTAAGGAAAGGGAGGAGGGAGGGGACTGGGGGATTAAACCAAAACAAGAAGCACTAAGCTTTGTCTCATGCACTAGGTGCAGTTTTGAACTCCCGACCTAGTGTCCCGAGAGCGTGTTAAAGATGCTCTTCATGGCAATTGGACCAAGATCCAAAAATGGTTCTTTTGAAAACTAGTCAGCATTTTAGAAGAATGTTACAAGCATTACCAAGTAGTGTTTTTGTTTGTTTGTTTTTTTTGGGCTACTTAATAGTATTGTATAGCTTAAACAACTAAAAATTCTGCACTACAAAGCCAACAAATCATCAACCCCAACTCTAAAACTAAACACTATCTATTGATACAGAACACCTATTTTAAGGACTGTATGATCAATGTTTCTGATGCCAATAATCATTTCTAGAGGCGAGAAATGATGAAAATAAAGAATCCTTTAGTAATCTCCATGTTGAAATTACAGTGTTTGGTTTGCGCGATCTATGGCAATTTATCAGTTCGACTAACGGGTAAAGAACCTTCAATAGCTACCCCATGCTCCATCTGGACTAAAGATCAAGCCGAATAATGCCCACCCTCTGAAATTCCAATTCCAATTCCAAGACAGGGTAGCCTATTAATATCCATTACATCAACCACAGTATCCTATCAAGACATGGGGAGGGCTCCCCACTCACCGGGCACCAATAAGACACTTGTCCATCCAAGTTGTGTTAGCATGTGCAGCAAATGGTGTTTGAATGAGGAAAACTAGCAGCCCAAAGAATAGCACAGACCATATGCTATAGTGAAACAATTTCACCAAAATTACAGATTTGAAGAATAACTAGGCAAATCAAGAACGGGGAGATAACTCAGTAAGGGAGATAACAACATTTATTAACTATATTATAAAGAATCAGTTTAACCACAATTTATTGTACAATCATATGTGTGAACAGGGTATACTTTTGGAGCACCGTATATGAACCTATATTGAGTCCAGACCTCAAAATTATAACAGCTACAAGGCAACTGGTAAAAGAATGATTACAGTTTCGCAGAACTTAGTAGAAAGCTATTACAATCTACAGGTATAGCAATTTCTGAAAACCTAGGTTACATAAAATAGTAAAAAATTATGATAATCCTGTTGTGTTACCGTTGTCATTTCTACCATCTGCATGTTTACACATGCAATCTGGCATTGGGTATGTATACAGCGAGCCACTGGGCTTTCTAGTTTCAACCCCCTTCACATCACTATGTCTGAGCATATCTTGCAACTGCCGTTTAAAGTCTTTCCATCTGTAAACATCAAGGATTATTCATAAGGATGCGTGCTATTATTTGTGTTTCTAGCTTAAGAGATACTATTCCACAATTCATTGTGATTTATTGTGTCAAAAACAGATGGAGGGGGGAGGAGGGGACAGGGATTGGGAGGTGGCGGAGATATTGAGAGAGAGAGGGGGAACACATTGAAGAAGCAAGAACTCTTCTAATCTTTTACAGGATGAGATTATGGAAAATGACAGTACCCTAATAATGCACGGTGCAACCAGTATAAAACAGCTGAAAGATTATATAGACAAAATCAAGTTCATTACCTGATGTTGGGGTTATCAAACAATAAAGCTAACTTTCTTTTGTCCGGTTTAATTGTCTTAGCATGTCCTTCATAGAGATATCGTCTATGACCAACCAAGAAATGTGGAAAGTTACCACCCTGAGTTGAGACAAACACTTCACTGTGCAGGCAAACCGTATAATCTAGAGCAGCCAACCTAGATGAATGCCCCTATATTACAAGTGTAAGCATATAATCTTGACAATAATCAAAGAATATTAACTCTCATTCTAAGCAGTCACTCAAATTATACCTTGAAAGGAGCTAGTTCTTCAGGAGAGGCTAGTGTATCCTTTGTCTCTAGATGAGGAAACATTTGTTTAAGTGGGGCCATATACTTTTCAGCTTGATAGATTTTTCCAGCTGCAACATATATGAAGGTGTTATTGTCAAAGCCCATTCCATGAAGCATCATCCCCACCTGCATCATCAAATCACAAAGATAAGCAATCAGTACACAAGGCAAGAAGTTTTTTGGTTCAAGGGTGACTCTAAGCGTTATAAGGGGAAGAGAGGAAGGGGGAGGGCTTGAGAGTTGAACTGAGGACCCATGGTTACCTGGTCAAAATTCCCAGCAGTTAAGCTGGCTCTTGGGGACCAAGGCAAAGACAATTGGGGAATAAAAAGGGGTTTAAAAGCTTCTCTTTCAGATAAAAGCAAAGGGAAGAGATATATCATAAAAGCAACTAATAAGCTTCCTAAGCAGCTGGGTGGGTTAGTTAATGAACTTAGAAAACCTGTGATTCTAATAAAAAAATGATATACCATTCATTCCCTACGGATGCTATATCCATGGCTACATCCAAGTGCAACTTCCACAAGTCCATCACAGCCATGGTTCTGAAATGGCTGGGCATTGCCTAAAACACTGTTGATAACAAACATTGACATTTTCTCCATCCAAAATTAATGACTGATGTTCAAGCCATCAGCTTTCAAGTACCCAGACATCAAATGGCAGTGAAAAAATGTGGCAATTCAAAGAAATCTCTATAATTCATGTTTGGGCATCTGCTAATCCCACTTTATTCGGATCAAAGTTACCTTTTCTTGTCAAATGGAGACTTTAAATTTCACATTACAACTCCTAGTTCAAGTTTGTAACATCTCAGCCAAGAGGGAACATTCTGGAGCCCTTTTTAGTTGGCCTAGTAATCTCTATTACCAGTCAGGGACAAAACACCAAGCCTATTGCAAACTCTAGGGTATTGCCTATCTTGGCTCTCAATATTAGGTGGGATATTCTCAGAAGTTTGGCCTCTTAACCATCAACAAGCTGATTTGCAATTAAGTTCAGCACTTGAAGGATACACTGAAGATGATACATGTCTCAAAAAAAAAAAAAAAACTATACACGCGATGCAAGGCATAGAAAACAAACCACTGTCTATATTGCACTGCTTTACTTACCTAACTGCAACATTAGTAATTGGGATGCATGCATTTTTAAGGTGGTTGTGTTAATAATTATGATAACGGCGGTTGAACACCAAACAGCTGGAAACCATATGCCAAGAGCTTGTCATGGGTTGACATTAATGGCTAAATTCTGTCATTTTTGTTTTTATCTTAGTCTTTGTAGCAGATGCACAAGTTAACTTTGGTCTAGCAAGCTGCCCAGGATAATGTCCAACTTGGTGGCACAAAAGCTTTAGCGATGAGAAGGAAAAGTCACAGACACCATGCATCTTTTACAAAATTTAACAGACATGAATTTGGAACTCAACTATAGCAAGAAAAGTAAAGGGGGGGAGGGAGAGAGAGAGAGAGAGAGAGAGGGAGGGAGAGGGAGATGGAGAGAGAGTTTAGGAGGGAATATGGACACTATAAGGGGGTGCAAAGCAAAGGATTTTCCATGCATTTATATACCTCAAGTGGAGTTAAAGGACACTTCCCATCCCGCCTATTTGCGCCAGGCCTTATTATTCTCCCCCTTCTACGAAATTTTCCTCGCCAGCTTCTTTCACGCGCAATATCCATCTCTCTCTTTTCTTCCTCGCCACCATCATATACACAACATGAAAATGCAACCATATCCTATAATCAGTAAAACATGTAAGATTATGTTCACAACACCACACAGCATAAACATAAGAAGATGAATTCTGTTTCATTCCAGAGAAAGAGAGAGAACAAAGCACCTCTTCAAATCGCAGATGGACTGAAATATACTTCCCCCCGCTTTTCGAGCTATTTTTAACCATCCTATCAACCATTTTTGCAGCTAGCATACGTATTGATTCTGAAAACCTAAGTGCTTCAAAATTTGACAAGCATCGAAGTCCTTGGATATTTGGAGGAACTGCATGGGCCAATCTGTTAGAGAAAGGTGCTACCCGAACGGCCCTGTAGCATTAATTAGAAAGCAGATAAAGCTATAATATATAAACTTCCAGGTCCTTGGAATCAGTGAAATCAGGGCTGCGGCACTTGTTGATGTTGGAAAATAAGTTTAAAAAAAAAAAACTACAATGGACACGATATTATGAGAGCAATGAAATTCAATGCATGACTGTCATCCAACCAGGAGAGCAAATCACTGCAAAACAATTTCTTGTTACAGCGAAGTACAGATAACATATCAAAGTGCAAAATTATATGTTAGCAGTTCCTACTCATAAAATTCAGGTAGATTTGCTTGATGTTCAGTTCATATATAATCTACATCTCTTCAATCGATCACAGACGGCAATGTAAAGCAAACATACTAGAGGAAAAGCAATTTCCAAAGCCAAAAACTTTTGCATCCAATAACAAGCCACAAATGATTACCCATTTACCAATCTAAGAGTTGTTTGATAAAAAAAGACTTGCAAGGAAAAACATACAGATTAGGTGTACTTTCTGATAGACAGTTTAAGCTTAAGATCCTGTTTCAAAAACTCAGCTCTCTGCTTTTAATGCTTTTAATATGTGCAGAAAGTGAATTCCCAGAATAACCTCAAAACTTTTTGAACTGGAACTCTGTTTTAACTCCCTTTTTTGCCATTTTATATTTGTTGGGCCCCAGGGGGTTGGGGGAGCGTGTTAGTAGGATTCCACCATAACCCTGTGTGGCATTGCTTAAGCTGTCCCCTAACTAATGGTTTTATGGAAACTAAGAACATAAAGTCAAATTTAATCACAAAATGTGTAACAACCAAAAAGCAAACATACTAAAGAAACATTACAAAATGAAAAGTGTTAAGCAGAATCTTGACAGATTGGTAATTAGAAAAAAAAGAATTTTTCTGATGATTGGACCACCTATAAGAGTTTTCTTCTCCACCAAAAGTAAGAAATGCAAAAGAAAGAAATCAAGAACCATTCCAAAATAAAGCAACAAAAGGTGCAGGGTAAAAGTAGCTTGCGTCATAACCAGGCCCAATGGGCTAAATAAAATGGGAAAGGGGTTTAGTGAGGTTCAGGAGTGAAACATCCATATTGCGGATGGGTATTTACGAGAATGCTTGGGTAGCCCATGGGACCAAATAACCTGTCTTATGTATTTTCTTTTTCCTTTATTTTTCAGGTTGATATTTTTTCCCCTAAACAATCATTTTTAATGTTTTGATAATTATTTATAATATTAAAGTTACATTCATTAGGGTGCAACTGCGAAATTAATCCTTTTAAGCTAAGAAGGGATTTGCCGTGTTACACTAGTTTAATTTTATTTTTTATTTTTAAGAATGTTGTGCACTAGTTCTGTGCATGGTCCCAATCTAGAAACATGACTATATAATTGCTAATTTTATAAATCAAGTTGATTCCTTTCTTGTGCTTTTAAGGATCTAAAATGAAGTACTTATTGCACTACAACCAGCTATCTACTTCATCACTTAATCATAGAAAGAAAATTTGAGAATCCTAATATTTCCAAGTCTGAATGTTTATATACATTTCAAGAAAAGTGAAAAAACTGAGAGCATTGAGAAAACATAGAAATCCAGATGCACAATCACAAGAATTCTTCCTCAATCAGAATTAATTATTTTCTGAAATGCTTAAATGAATGGATCACTCAGAACTCAGAAGATGGTGGGCAAAGAAATAACAAGGATCATTAAATGTAGATGAAGAGTCCTGGGCTTGTAACAAATGTATCTGGTCAAAACTAGTCAAAATTTTCACAATGGGTAATATGGGTATTCGGCTGGACTAATCAAAACCCATCCCACATATGTCCCACCCAAATTAGTCCCATTGTAATTATGGGTATGTTTGGGAATAAGCCCAAGCAACTCACGCCCCCCCCCCCTTCAATTTGCCCCATCTTGTATAGATTCCTGTATTCATAACACAAAGGAGCGCTATATTCTTGTACAGTTGCAATACAATATAGATTCCTGGATGATTATTTTAAAGGACCTTTGTAAGGCCTTATCCTCATTTTAGAGATGGAATATAAGCACATTGAAGACAACTGCATGACTTGACTATCTAACAAAATATAGGGCCTGATATTACAGCCAAAAACGATGTATTTGTATGCTAAAGATAAGCTCTATAATACTTGATGACCATCAAGATTAGCACATTAAAGCTCAGTGGAGACAGAATGTCCAGTTAATGAACTCACAGTAACAAACGTTATAGTTTGGTTGGTAATAAAAGACAAATGGTCAGTCATAAAAGAAAAATATTATGCAGTTGTTCTTTAGTTTATAGCTCAGATAAAACACAATCTCACTCAAGCCATGAGTTCAATAGAAACGCTTTCAGTGCAAAACAAGTATCCATGACAGTTTATTTTGTCTTTAGGTGTTCATTTTCCATTATTAGATTTTTTTCAATTGCTTTTAAGTGTTATGGTTTTATAAATTGGGTTGTTTGGACATTCCTCAACTTTTCTTGGACTAGTCCTTTTTACTTTTTGGGGAAAAAAAAGCTACTGTACTTACATTCTTTTTATTACCTTAACTCCAAATAAACTCGTACAACTAGAACTCTACAATTCCGTTATTCCTCAAATCTCTTCTCTGGTACTGCATCTAAAAATTCTTAATTTCAACAGGTTAGTCTCGTAATGCACCATAGTTTTTTAGTCACAATGTACTGTAATAACTCACTTGAATCTGAACAAATACTGTGCACCAAAGAGAACTGAAATGAAGCTACTGAAAACAGTTAAAAATCATCCCCCCAGGGGGAAAAAAAGAAAAAAAATACAAAACCAAGAAGAAACCCATAATGTAAATAACAAAGAGGACGAAACATAACTAAACAAAGACAAGAAAACGGGACAGAAAGAGGAGGGAGAGAGAGTCATGAAAAGAAAAATGAAATGTGACCTCCAAACTGGAGATCAAGAAGTTCACTTCAGATAATTACTAGTGTCAGCTATAAGGAGCAACTTAACATCCAATGATTAGCCATCAAAGCAAAAAGTTAAGGGTATAGCAGTAAAAGACTACGTACCCCAACTCAACTATCTTTGGTACAACCTTCTGCAGATAGTAGGTTGGACTTGACCATGCTTTTAACCTCAGATTGACAATATTGCTTATATTATGATCAAAATGCTGAAGTACAGCTTCTGGAAGCTCTCTAACAATCTCTACACGATTTCTTAGGGCGTATATGAAGAAATCCTCATCAAATATGTCTCCAAACTTGCTGCAAGAATTTAAAGAGAAAGGAAAATATGTAAGACAAATGAACATGTTATGAAACAGGTCTAGTCAAAGGAAGTAAACCTAGGATAGATTCATTCAAAAGGAAATAAAACTGCAAACCAATCATAAAACATGGACGTTTTAGGACAAAATTAGAGAAGGAAAAAAAAAAGCAGACTTTTGATGAAAACCACAGATACGTGCTAATAATATTCCTTTGGTTCTTTTTGTACTCATTTGTGTATGAGTGAGCATTTTTTCCAACATACAACACGTAAAATCATTTAAAATGACAGGTAGCCAAAAATAGATAAAGAAGTGCTAGAAATTTGGTATTACATTAGCTCACCTAGAATCTCGCCAAACACTATTGAAATGAAACATTGGAATAACAAGAGTGGCATTTAACAATCCTGCTACCGCCACTGCATCACATATCTGTGCAGGAAAATATCCATCAGTTAATTCTGACAGCTCATATGCACACATGAAGGCACCAACATATTATAATAGTTTGGGCATTTGTAATTTTCCCCGAGAATTCCTGTCATTAGTTAATCCTAATGTCTGCAAAGATGGGAAAACTGCAGCAGAGCCACAGGGGGAGCACAATACTAGCAGAACATCCTAACATAATTGTGAAGCATCATCATCCATGATAAAGTTGAAACTAGGAATGCCTTTTATTCTAAAAAAGAAACATACCGACAATCTTTGTTGGTTCAATCCACCATTTGCTTCAATTATGAGGAAACCATTTGACTTGGGCAACTCTGAGAACCGTTCAAGCAGAAGCATGATAAAGATGGTGTTGACAGGTAATTGCACGAATGCTAAAGGAAAAATAAGCTCTGGATTTTGTTACAAAATTTAACTAATTAAGAAGAAAATGCCATGAGTTATCAAGAAGTAAAATAGTTTCAGCACAATAATAAGTTCCCTGTGAAACCAGTTTATGTACATTTGTACAATGGTACAGCTACACTTGGTCATGCACTCAGAGACATGCAACAACTTAGTATTTGAACTCCTCCTATCCCTACTGCCCTACTTCTTGCACATGTACACCTGTTCTTTATGCCTTTGCAATGAGCAAGCGAAAATAGAATCTTCAGTATTTCCATTTTTAGTCTCACATGAATAGGAAAAAAATATGCTAAAAGTTTTTATTTCTCTACGTTTCAATTTAGGATCAGAAAGAAGATCTCTATCATATAAAAGTGGGAAGAAATTCAGAAACAGAATTTCAGTTATTGGACATGTGGCCATTGCATGCACACACATAATATACATTGTATATATTGTACTGTTCATACTGCATACCCATACACACACACACCAGAAACCTTACAAATTCTCCACATCTATTTTGACCACAAGCACTTAAGTATTCATGGGAAATACAGTTATCATGCCAACTGGAATTTTTCATAGATTTCATCTTGTCTATGAAAGTAAACAATTCCCTAACCTGCATGAGAAGCAGTCTGGTGAATACAAGGCTTCCAACTTTGACGTGGCTTTAAAGTCCAAACATTCATTATCTGCAAATTTCTAATGTCAGCTACAAAGTTAATATCTTTCACATCAACCCGACAGCTAACAACTTCCCATGCTAATAAGAAGGTATCTTAATTATTGAGCAATATCACAGCAAAAAGAACACTCCAAATTCTAATCTTCTACTGTCGAATTAAAGCTTCAAACTGGTAGCCAATGAAGTTAAATATCTTATTTGTTCCACTTCTAAAGCATCAATTCCTCTCCGACTACATATAAAGGTCAAAAGGAAGGGATAGATTTATTTATTTTTTGGACGCGGGGGGGGGGGGGGGGCGGGGGG